GGTCCCCATCCTGCAATTTCTTATCCTCCAGTCTCCTTTTGGGATTTTGGACACGCATGACATAGACCCAACGTGATTCTCAAGCCACCAGGTGATTGAACTGCAATGCTGGCCGTGTGGGATCCCATGTCGTAACCTGTAGCTGTTGTGACAGAGCTGCAGTAAACACTAGAGTGCAATTTCTTCTTTAACGTACCGATTACCTTTCCTTTGGATATATACCCCATCGTGGGATTACTGGATCATATGGCAGTTCTGTTTTTAGCTTTTGAGACACCTCCATTCTGTTTTCTGTAATGGCCGTATTAATTTAAATTCCCACCAACTGCCTATGAGAGTTCCTCTTCTCCTCATCCTGACCAGCATTTGTTACTCTTATCTTTTCCGAAATAGTCATTCCATCTGGAGTGAGATGATATTTCAGTATGGCTTTGATTTGCATGATGATTAGTGATACTGAGCATTTTGTTCATATATTGCTTATTCTTTTTATCATACAACTCAGTGGACCATAAAGGTAAAATTTTCAACAAGATACTAGCAAACCCAATCTGAAAACATACCTAGAAAATGATATCCCAGGGATATGAGCAAAGATGGTTCAACATACGTAAAACAGTAAATGTAACACACCACAATGACAGAAAGAAAGAAAAATCATATGATCATATCTATAGATGTAGAAAAAGCATGTGATAAAATACAGTATCGCTTCATGGTCAAGACTTAGCAAAATTCGGGTAGAAGGGACATTTCTTAACATGATAAAAGCCACATGTGACAGACTTACTGTGAGCATCATGCTGAATGGGGAAGAGCTAGAAACTGTCTCATTGAAAACTAGAACAAGACAAGGTTGCTCTCTCTTACCACTCCCTTTTAACATGGTGCTGGAAGTCCTATCCAGTTCAGTCAAAAGTGGGCAAGATAAAAGCCATTGAAATAGGAAGAGAAGATGCTATGATTACATACAGAGGAACTCCCAAGGATTCCATGAAAAGACTCCTAGAAATGATAAATGAATTCAGTAAAGTTGCAGGATACAAGGTCAGTCTACAAAAATCTACAGCTTATTGATACAGCAATAATGAATAGTCTGGGACTGAATTGAAGAAAGCAATTCCATCTACAATAACCTCAAAACCAGTAAGATTTCTAGGAATAAATCTAGCCAAAAAAAGTAAAAGACCTTTGCAAAGAAAACTATGAAACCCTGAAAAAAAGAAATTGCATATGATACTAAAAAAAAAAAAAAAGTAAGGACATCCTTTGCTCTTGGATCAGAAGAATGAATATAACCAAAATGTCAGTCCTACCCAAATTAATTTACATATTCAATGCAATTCTGATCCAATTACTTGAGACATTCTTCACAGAAATAGATAAAACAATTATAAACTCTGTCTGGAATCAAAAAAGACCTCATGTTGCCAAGGCAATACTGTTTTAAAATGATAAACTAGGAGGTATGTCACTGCCTGACTTAAAAGTATACTACAAAGCAATGGTAATTAAAACAGCATGGCACAAAAATAGGTACATAAACCAATGAAACAGAGTAGAGAATCCAGAAATAATCCCAAATCACACAGCTAACTGATCTTTAGTAAAGGGTATAAGACAATGCAGTGGGGAAAAGAAAGTCTCTTTGGCAAATGAGGTTGGAAGAATTGGATTTCTACCTGCAGAAAACCCCTATCTTTTACCATTAACTAGAATAAAACTCAGAATGGATCAAAGACAAATATAAAGCTTCTGACTATAAAATTACTGGTAGAAAATGTAGGGGAAACTTTTGAAGACATTGGAGTAAGCAAAGGTTTCTTAAATAAAATATCTAAAGCATAGGCAATGGTCCGTGTGCGTGCGTGCCCAAGATCCTGAGAGGAGAATGGAGGAGAAGGGATTGCGGCAGGGCCATCCCCCCCGGGGGATGATTTATCGCTTTTTGACTCTCTGTCTCTCTCTGTCTTTCTGGTGAGCACACGCGCCCTATAGCAAAAACCTCTCCAAAAAAAAAAAAAAAGAAACAGTAAAATCCTATTTTTCAACTCAAATTGATGAGTATAGAAGATTTAATGTTGAGCAAAGTGAGCCAGACTTTAAAAGATATACATTGTATATCCCCACACGGTTCGTAATGAGTTTTTGCACTTTATAGAGTTTGAGGGATCTGAAGATGCAATGAGAGGTTCGGTGTATATGCCAGTGACGATAAGAGGGGAAAGTAGTTGGTAGAGAGTGGGGTGGTGGATGAGGGTTGGTAAAAAAAAAAAAAAAAAAAAAAAAATAATAGGGAACTAGCAGTTAGCGTAATGGCTATGTCGCTGGACTCCCATGTAGTCGACCGCGGTTCGTATCCTGGACCCGGTGGCTTAAAACTCATGCCGGGCGCGTGTGCGTGCGTGCCCAAGATCCCGAGAGGAGAATGGAGGAGAAGGGATTGCGGTGTGACCATCCCCCTGGGGGGTGATTTCTCGCTTTCTGTCTCTCTGTCTCTCTCTGTCTGGCGAGCGCACGCGCCCTATAGCGAAAACCTCTCCAAAAAAAAAAAAAAGATTATAAATAATAAACTTTTGTTTACAGGAGAAGAATCAAAACTTTTTTTGTTTGTCTGAATTAGTTCATAATAGTGTGTCCCTGTTAATTTATCTGTTCTCAAAAGTGCACTTTGCCTCAAAGAAAGAACCGACTAGTTTACAATCTTATGTGAAACTGTAGTTTATCATTAATAGATATCTGAAATACAGGTGATGACCTGTATTTTTTATACATGTGAAATTGAAACAAATTTATTTTGCCAATGTTTTCTGAATGAACTGAATAAAGTTTTCGTTGGAAAAAGCATACTAATTTATATGTAATGTTCCTGATTCTCGTGAAGCGAGGGCCATTGGTCTTTGGCCACATGTATAGTTAATAGCATGTTGGATCAGAACACAGGACTCCCGCCAGGTGTTTTATGCTCCGCATGGTTTCCGTTTTCTGTGTTCCTGCTTTGTAGACCAGGTCAACTGAGTAATTAGTACAGACTTTGAAGAGGATTAGTTTTCCAGGGTTTTTCTCTCTTCGCCAACGTCCACCTAAGAGTAAGTCAGTCGAACCTAGCCTTAGTGGCAGATACGGACCCAGTGGGGGTCACTAAGTTTGCACTTGATGATGGCGTGTGTCCACTGTCAGGGGACATCTTTCCTCCTGCAAAGGCAGCTATGCCTTTAAATGCCACTAAAGATATTCCTCTGTTAATTGATGTCATCAGCTGAACGAAAGAAAATTCTTTATCCTTAATACTCTTTGTCTTTCATTTATGGCAATTGTATGCATTATCTTTCCTTTTTTTTTTTGGAGAGGTTTTTGCTATAAGGCGCATGCGCTCGCCAGACAGAGAGACAGAGAGATAGAAAGCGAGAAATCACCCCCCAGGAGGGATGGTCACGCCGCAATCCCTTCTCCTCCATTCTCCTCTCGGGATCTTGGGCACGCACGCACACGCGCCCGGTGTGAGTTTTAAACCACTGGGTCCGGGACGCGAACTGCAGTCGACTACGTGGGAGTCCAGCGACATAGCCATTACGCTAATTGCTGGTTCCCTTATCTTTCCATTTTTAAAGGATTTTTTAAAATAAAGTTTAAGAAGCTTCTCCTACGTCACAAACAAAAACATGAAATTCTATTTCAGAGCATCCTTAAACTTTTTTTTTTTTTTTTCACATGAAGCAGAAGCAAAGAACTTGGAAAATTCTAGCCTAGTGTATTGTAAAGAGGCTCCTCCTTGCATTCTCTCTGGGCTGTAGTCGAAGAGCATTTTAGAATTTCTGTATTCATTTATTTATTTACTCATTCATTTATTCAACGCTCAGCCGCTGAGTGTTCGGATATGTGGGGCCTTAGCAATAAAATAGCACAGCTCTCAGGTGGAGAGACAGGTTATCAAATGAGTACACAAATACCCAAAACAGCTGCGAAGAAATGTTTGGGGGACTATTTCCTTTTCCTGTATGAATGAAGATTTTTTTTTTTTTCATTAGATTTTAAAGCTTCCCATTTATTGCTCTACGTCCATCTAGCTCTGGCACATTATGTGGGCAGAGGTTAGGCCTTTTATTGTTATTTTTTTTCTGAGAGGGTGTGTGCACTTGCTAGAGAGACAGAAAGCAAGAAATCACCCTCCAGGAGGGTGGTGGCCAGACCACTATCTCTGTTTCTCCATACTCCTTTTGGGATTTTGGACATGCATGCACATGTGCCCCGTATGAGTTTGTTTTGTTTTGTTTTGTTTGCCATAGGGCGCGTGCGCTCGCCAGAAAGACAGAGAGACAGAGAAACAGAAAGTGAGAAATCACCCCCCCCAGGAGGGATGGCCATACCGCAATCCCTTCTCCTCCATTCTCCTCTCGGGATCTTGGGCACGCACGCACACGCGCCTGGCATGAGTTTAAGCCGCCGGGTCTGGGACTCGAATTGCAGTCGACTACGTGGGAGTCCAGCGACATAGCCATTACGCTAACTGCTGGTCCTCTGGTGTGAGTTTCAAGCTGCTGGGTCTGTGCCTTGAACTGTGGTTGACTAAGTGGGAGTCCAGCAATGCAACCATTACGCCATCCCCATCTGCTAGCCCCCGGTTAGGGCTCTTTTTTTGGAGAGGTTTTTGTTATAGGGTGTATGCATGCACCAGAAAGTGAGAAGTCACCCCCCAGGAAGGATGGCCACGCTGCATTCCCTTCTCCATTCTCTTCTAGGGATCTTGGGCATGCACACACACGTGCCTGGCATAAGTGTAAGCCACTGGGTCCGGGACTCGAACCGCAGTTGACTACATGGGAGTCCAGCAACATAGCCATTGCACCAACTGCTGGTCCCTAGGGCCAACACAGGTGGTGAATTACTGATCCCTTTGTTCGTTCTACATGCCCTTGTTTCCCTCAGTTGACACCGAGCCCTGTTCGCTCCTTCAGGAAACAGGTTTTTTGAATCTCTGTTGTCCCTTTTGCCTCTCACAGAAAGAGCGGGATTTGGAATTGGCTGCTAGGATTGGCCAGTCGTTGTTGAAGAAGAACAAGACCCTAACCGAGAGGAACGAACTGCTGGAGGAGCAAGTGGAACACATCAGGGAGGAGGTGAGGAACTGGGGGCAGAGACATCAGAGGGCCCCTCGCAGACCTGGGAGCTGGGGCATGGCGGAAGGAGAGGGTCTGCAACGGCGTTCCCATTGGAAAGGCCCTCAAGGGGTTGCCCAACGCCCGAGCCCCAAACTGCCTGTTCTGAGAGGCTCCTGGAGACCACAGGCTGGCTTCCTGTGGCCCCTTCGGGTTCCTGTGCATCCTCCCTCTCCCCAGCAGTGTGGATGGGATCACAGGGCAGGATAGTCCTCGCTTGGATGCTGGACTCATAGCCCTGTCACGGGCAAGCTGGGTGTGGGGCCAGCCGCAGTCCCCACTCTCCGAGAGTCCAGACTCCAGCCGTGTGGCCGAGACACGCCCTACTTGGTAAAGGTGCACACGGGCCACTATGGCAGTGGGCAGGGGCTTGCTGAGTCAGGAAGTGTGTGGACCAGTGTAGGCACAGGGAGCCCTGAGAGGAGACAGAGTGGCGAGTCACATTCATCCTCCCAAGATCGTGTGTGTGTGTGTGTGTGTGTGTGTGTGTGTGTGTGTGTGTGCATGTGTGAAACGAAACAAAACCTGGCCTATTGTTTTCATGAGAGAAACCCTGTTAATTTCCTCATTCAGATCTTGGCTGTTATCAGCCATGAGCGAGGAGGAGCTCCAGATGAAGGTCTGTCGCAAGGGGGCCTGCATTTAGGAGGAATGACACGGGTTTTCTGGAATAGTGTGGTGTGGGCCCAGGCCGTAGAGTGAAACCGCGTTGCTAGGACAAGGTTAGAAGGCAGGCCTTCCTTGGTAGCTGCTGTTCTGTCTCCCTCACTGTTCTTTCCCCCCAGGGTGGAAAGGCTTTGAATGTGAAAGCTACAACCTGGTCCCCTTTGTCACATCATTTAATTAGGCGTTAAAGCGAATCCCTTTATTTTATTTATTTATTTATTTTTGGAGAGATTTTTGCTATAGGGCGCGTGCACCCACCAGACAGAGAGAAAGAGACAGAGAGACAGAAAGCGAGAAATCACCCCCCAAGGGGGATGGTCACGCCACAATCCCTTCTCTTCCATTCTCCTCTCGGGATCTTGGGCACGCACGCACATGCGCCCGGCGTGAGTTTGAGCCACCGAGTCCGGGACTCGAACCGCGGTCAACTATGTGGGAGTCCAGCGACATAACCATTACACTAACTGCAGGTCCCACTTTATTCACGTGAAATTGGCTTCTCCATGGAAGGCAGACTATTATACGTCTGCTGTGTCGTGAAGGGAAGTTGGAATAAACCATAGAGCCCAAGTCACGTTAGAAACAGAGAATTAAAACACAATTGCAGTTATCAAGGACACATTCACCCGTCCCAGATGGTGAGGGGACAAACGACAGATTTCATGGCATGCATTTGTTTATTTTAAAACCTGGAGTGTAAACCCATGTGGCAGAACCGTCTTACAGGAGTTAGTTCTGACATGAGTTTCTGCTGGTTGCCTCCTTTCTCCCTGTGTCTGACATTCTTATCGTCCCTGTCTCTGTGGTCACAGTACGGAGCAAGGTCTAGCTGGCTTGGCCGGGAGCCCAGAGAAGGTGCATGATCACAGGGTGGGGCTGTGGTTGTCCAGGTGTGAGTGGGAGTGGACGGGCTGTCTGACGGCCCACCCAGCGCTGGCATCTCCACCTTGCCGTCCATCCTGAGGAGGGATTTGGTTCTCACAGAAGTGAATGGCTGCTTCTCTCATTTGATAACGCGATCCATTTCTGTGGCTGTTTGCCCAGCTGGTCATTTGGCCATGAGCGGTCTCATGCCCCCACAACCATCATTCTAGCATATTCTAGTCCCCTCCCCTTTTCTGTATCAAAGTAAAAATTGTGGATAGAGGCAGGGAGTTTTCAGCCAAAGGAATTGATTGTGTATTTTCTTTTATTTATTTTCTAATCATCAGAGGACAATGTGCACTTGCCAGAGAGAGAGATGGGGGTTCGGGGGGGGGAGCACCTCCAAAGAGGTATGGTCCTTCCACAATTCCTTCTCCGTCTTTCCATCCTGTTGGAATTTGGGGCACACACACATATGGGCATGGTGTGTTCAGTCTGCCAGGGCTGGGATATGAACTGCAGTCGGCCATGGGATCTGGTTTCCTTAACCACTATACTATAGGGCTGGCCCGTGGTTTTCTTTTCTTTTCTTTTCTTTTTGAGAGGTTTTGCTATAGGGCACATGCACTCACCAGACAGACAGACAGAGACAGAGAGACAGAAAGCGAGAAATCACCCCTTAGGGGGGATGGCCATGCTGCAATCCATTCTTCTCTCTGGATCTTGGGCACGCACACACACGCGCCCGGTGTGAGTTTAAGCCACCAGATCTGGGACTCGAACCATAGTCGGCTACATAGGAGTTCAGCAACATAGCCATTACACTAACTGCTGGTCCCGGTCCGTGGTTTTCTTAAACGGGGTCAGATTCAACCCTTTGCAACCCTGTACCACAAAATTGGTTAAACGCTCTCACTTCCGTGGGGGATTTCACACATGTTGTCATTAAGCACTGAGTGTGAGGAGGGACACAAGCACCTTTGGGGGAGCCACTCACAGGCCCGCCTCTGTTTGGCAGGTGTCTCAGCTCCGCCATGAGCTGTCCATGAAGGATGAGCTGCTTCAGTTCTATACCAGCGCCGCGGAGGAGAGCGAGCCTGAGTCCGTTTGCTCAACACCGTAAGTCACCAGAGAGCTGCCTCCGTCTCGGGATGCCAGGGCCATGGGTTGGAGTCACTGACGTCCTTAGAGTCACCTACGTAGGGTCACCTTCACCGAGAGTAATATGAAGTCCCCTTTCTGCAGAACAAGCATCTCTGAGCGCCTCGAACAGAGTGATGGTTCAGTTTCAGTAGGACCTCAGAGGGCTTTGGGGTTTCCTCGTATTGGTTCCTACTACGTCTTTGCCAGTTGAGTTGATTCGCCCTGGCAGGCTGATGGGCAGTGGAGCAAGCTCTCCTCTTAGGGGAGGTACAGAGTTCTGAAGCCAGACGTGCCGCGGTGGGTCCTTGGGACAGAAGGTATGGGGATTTTGCTGCGTGGCATCAGCACCCTGTGCTGGGAGCATGAACTCTGGAGCCCAGTGGCCTGGCTTCAGGTCTCATCTCTGTGACTTACTAGCTGTGTGATCTCGGCCTGATTACATAACCTCTCTGTGCTCGTTTCTTTCATTTGTACAATAGAGAAACGAATAGTCCTTAGGTCATGGGTTACAGGCATGAATTGAGTTAATACATATTGAGTGCATACCGTACCTCTTGGCACATAGAGGTGCGCTATAAATGAAAAAAAAAAAAAAAAAAACAAACCTCCCAAGCATTCCAGAATTGGGTAGGCTTTCATTAGCGTGGATTCCCCCAGATTCTGAGGTGAGGTGGACAGAATTCTGCAGTGTGGACAGAAGGCTGGAATATGGGTCCAGAGTGGCCATGAGCCTGTGTGTCAGAGGTGCCGTTTTCCCGGTGTGGGAAGGTCTGCCAGGGTGTTGCCGCACCAGCAAGCCTCAAGCACCTCCTTTGACACAGCCCTTCTCTGTAACCCCACGAGGTGCCCCGGCGTTGGGAGGAAGGGCTCCCTCCCAGGCGTGAACACTCCTTCTCCCCCAGGTTGAAGAGGAACGAGTCGTCCTCCTCAGTCCAGAATTACTTTCATTTGGATTCGCTTCAGAAGAAGCTGAAGGACCTTGAAGAGGAGAACGTTGTACTTCGATCCGAGGTGAAGTGCACCTGCTGCTCCCATCCGCACTGGAAGGGTGGTGGCTCTGTTTGTTTACCTGGTGACAATAGCCCCGGTGTCCCTGTCATTCTCAGAGGAGATAGCCTGGAGGAACTACCCAAATCTTAGTTCATAGCCCTCCTGCCCTGAGCTAAGCGGGTCTGCCTTGCTTGGTGCTGGGTGGGCCCTGCCTCCCGGGCTAGGCACACACACCTGGCCAGTTCCACAGCGTGTGGCCAGGGGAGACTTGCAAAGCCCTGCCCCTCCTCAGGGAGGGCAAGCCTGCTAGAGTGGGGTCCTTCCATGGTGATCTGATTAGGACCCCGGGAGAAGTGGGTGGAGGCTCGGTGTAGAACCTGCTGTTCATTTGCTCAGATCAGGGATGCTCTAGGGAAATAGTGTGTAAAAACTTGGAGAAATACTTCTTAAATAATTAAGAAGATGGTGCTGATGCAACTTGGGAACGTGTTTCCCATGGGCGAGGCATTATGCCAGGTACCTTGCTTGCAGTTTTATTTTTTAGCTGAGTACTCGGGTTCTCATGTACAGTGAGAAAACCAGCCTGGGAGGTGTTCTGACAATCCAAGGTCATGCTACTAGGGAATGACAAAGGATTGACAGGTCTCTGGGACTCGAGGCCCCACATTTCCGCCTTCACCCACTGTCCCTCTAGGAATGGATGCTGCAGATTTAGTACTGGGTGTCTCAGTTAGCAGTGAGCTTATGCTGTCTAGCTGGGGGCGTGGTAGGGCCCTGTTTACAGGCCCGTGGCCGGTGTGGGCTGTGTGTCCACCCTGTTGGCCCTGGGCCCACAGAGCCCCTCCAGGAGGGCAGACCTGCCACCTTGAACTCGCTCACACACGGGACAAAGCTTCCCAGCTGGGCTCGGCAGGATGTTCCTCTGAGTGTCCCACCCTCCGCGACTCCCCTTCTCTGCACCTTGTTACTTAATGGGAACTGTAAACCCATAGTGGCCACAAAAGTGCCTAGGTTTCCTCTGCCAGCCTGCCGCTGAGCTGGGGCCACAGCCGGGCACTCCCCATTCCGATCTAGCGCTGTCTCTTCCTGCACCTGCCCCAGGTCAGTGCTCCAGTCCTGGGCACCTGGCATCTCGGCCCTGCCAGTCTCCACCTAAAGCGAGGCTCTCTGATCCCCGAGGCAGATCCCCACTGCTGCCTCCATTCTTCGAAGTGTAGTGTCCCCCAGGGACAGAGACGCCTTCCCAACTGGGGCATTTAGAGCTTCAGATCTCACCTTTTCAGCCAGGAGCAATCCCCGGGTCTCTGACTATGTATTCTTCTGTATTTAAGCTTGTTCTTCCTAAGCAGAGCACAGCCAGTTTCACTCCACCCAGCACCTCCTAGCTCAGCCCCTTGCAGGTAGACGGTGCATGGTCAGTAATGGCTTTCTTTAGAGTGTCTGTCGCAGGCAGGGCAGTGAGTAGGCCCTGTGAAGGTCCCGAAGGTGTCAGTAACTCTGAGCCTGGACAGACAGGCGAGTAGACAGATACACAGGTGACAGCGGTGTTTAAACAGCAGGGCAGCTGGCCCCTGTGTTGTTTGAGTAGCGCCCTCTAGTGGTGCACATTCTCCAGCACTTCTGGCTTGAGAATACAGGTCCATTGGCTAAGCAGGAAATTCCGATCGGCTTTCTGCCTTTGAGGCTGTAGCGGGTGTTGCATGGGGAGATACTGCGGGTGGCCTTCCAGACCCGGTTAGGCCTTGCTTCCTACCTCGGCCTTGGCCTGCCCACCAGTCCAGGCGGGAGTACGGGGGCTCTGCCCTGAGCCTGACCGAAGCCTTGCCCACAGGCCTGCCAGCTGAAGACAGAGACCATCACCTATGAAGAGAAGGAGCAGCAGCTGGTCAACGACTGCGTGAAGGAGCTGAGTATGTCCCCGGGCGCCCAGCCCCACCGCCTCTGCCCACGCCTCACACCTGCCTTCACTGTGATTAGACCAATTGGGCACCCCCTTGATAATGGGCACTCTCCGCCAGCCCATTCCTTAAAACTAAACGCCGCCCCTGGCCTGTGTGGCACCCCCTCCCCATTTACAAGAGGTCGGGAGCTAAGTTTATAACCACGTGTTCTCTCAGCTTCCTGCCGAGACGGATATTTACCGTAAACCTTGTCTTTCTACTGGAATATTAGGGTTATTAGGCCCAGCGACCGAAGCCTGTGTCGCAAATGTTGAAAAACTGCTTGCCCATAATTTGATCTGGGAACTAGAGGCCAGAGTTCTTGGCTGTGCAAACCAGCGCTTTTCTGCACCCTCTCCACTCTAAGTTTACAAATTCAGACAGAAGGGCAAACAGAATGTTCTGCATTTCAGCAGAATACTAAGTACTGAAACACACCCTAGGTGCAAATCTAAGAAAACGGGTTATGTCTCTGAACATGGCCGAAAGCCCCCAGGGATTACACCGGATGCCGGTAGTTCCTTTCTAGAACAAGGTGTCGTCGGGGTTCGTGTTGGTGACGTGGGTTCGTTCACGCGTGGACTGCAGAGACTGGGCCAGGTGCACCCATGCATGGTGCGGTTCCTCCTGGTGGAGTCTGAGCCTGCCCAGTGTGCCCTGGGGAGTCAGCCCTGGTCAGGGAGGTTGGGTCTCTACACCGAGCCTGGGAGCCACAGCTGGGGGACCAGGTTCCGTCTAAGGAGTGAGCCCTGAAGAGCCCTTTCCTCCTCCATGTAGAAACAAGGCCACCCTGAGTTTCTTCATGCCCCTTCTCCACCCCGTTCCCTTCCCCCTTGTGCACATCACAAAGAAACCGTTCTCCCCGAGTCTGCATGCACGATGTTCCGACTTCCTGATGTGGTGGTTCCTCTGTTAAAGGGGATGCCAACGTCCAGATTGCCAGCATTTCAGAGGAGCTGGCCAAGAAGACCGAAGATGCCGCTCGCCAGCAGGAGGAGATCACACACCTGCTGTCGCAGATCGTCGACTTACAGAAAAAGGCGAAAGCTGTACGGCCGCTCTGCTGCTCTGGCTCACACCGTAGGGGCTGTGCCGAGATGGGGGGCGTTTACTCAGGGACATACCCTTAAGAATTTAAGCCATAGGGGGAACCAGCAGTTAGTGTAATGGCTATGTCGCTGGACTCCCATGTAGTTGACCGCAGTTCGCGTCCCGGACCCAGTGGCTTAAACTCAATGCCAGGCGCGAGTGTGTGCGTGCCCAAGATCCCGAGAGGAGAATGGAGGAGAAGGGATTGTGGCGTGACCATCCCCCCTGGGGGGTGATTTCTCGCTTTCTGTCTCTATGTCTCTCCCTGTCTGTCTGGCGAGTGCACGTGCCCTATAATTAAAAAAAACAAATTAAGAATTTAAGCTATAGGGACCAGCAGTTACCATAATGGCTATGTCGCTGGACTCCCATGTAGTCAACCGTGGTGCGCATCCCGGACCTGCTGGCTTAAACTCAATGCCAGGCGCGAGTGTGTGCGTCCCCAAGATCCCGAGAGGAAAATGAAGAAGGGATTGCGGCGTGGCCATCCTCCCTGGGGGGTGATTTCTCGCTTTCTGTCTCTCTGCCTCTCTCTTGTCTGTCTGGTGAGCGCATACGCCCTATAGCAAAATCCTCAAAAAAAAAAAAAAAAAAAAAAAAGAATTTAAGTTAAGACTGGTTGCCCTAAATTGGCAGATGGCCTTATTTAGAATCTCTTATCTCCTAAGAACGACTATAAAATAACAGAACTTGTTTAGAAAGCTGTGTAGATATAGAGTTTTGGAATTTAACTATGGATCTTCTAGTTTAGAATTTGTTTTTATACACCAGATCTGTTCTATAGCAGGTATCCCCTGTAGATTTAAGATAAAGCAGAAAAAAAAAAAATTCCTTTCCCATATTAGGCCTTTGCTTAAAGGTCTAAAGTGGAATGCCTTCAGAGAGCAGCAGTTACTTTGGAGGTGGGGGGAGCCTGTAGAGAGTCAATAATGTTAACAAAGATAATGCCTTCAGAATTACGGGAATGATGGGGGACCAGCAGTTAGCATAATGGCTATGTCACTGGACTCCCATGTAGTCGACCGCGGTTCATGTCCTGGACCCGGTGGCTTAAACTCATGCCAGGCGTGTGTACATGTGTGCCCAAGATCCTAAGAGGAGAATGGAGGAGAAGGGATTGCGGCGTGGCCATCCCCCCTGGGGGGTGATTTCTCACTTTCTGTCTCTCTGTCTCTGTCCGTCTTTCTGGCGAGCACATGCGCCCTATAGCAAAAACCTCTCCAAAAAAAAGAATCACTGAATGACACATTGTAATGCCAGTGTAAGATAAGTCTCCTCTTGTAGAAAGGTAATAAGATCGTAATGGCTCAAGTCTTAAGAGGGAAAATGTTGAGCTTATGTAAAGTGTCTTTAAAAGAGAAGATGATTTCTTTTTGCCACATTTTAGTGCGCTGTGGAAAACGAAGAACTCGTCCAGCATCTGGGGGCGGCTAAGGATGCCCAGCGGCAGCTCACGGCTGAGGTGAGTCTGTCCGTCTGATCCCTGCGGGGCCTCTGAGTCCAGTGAAGGTGCAGCAGCCTCCTCAGAGACGCTTTGGTCTTAATAACCCTTCTTATATTGAATGCAGTTGCATGTTCACTTGTAAGGTAATTCCCAAATGCACCCCGATTCTGGCTGGGAGTGCCTGGAAGCTTGGCACGCTTAGGTGTCCGACAGAGGAGCCCCGTGCAGAGATGTGGCTTGAAGCGAGGATGTGACAACGCGACGATGTGCTTTTTCTGTCATTTCCACTTGGTTTTACCCCAGTTGCTCCTTGTTAGTATTTGAGGAGATTTCTGAGTCTATAAGCTCGTTTCACGCCGAAGTAGAACTCGCCTTGAAGACTCTCTCATTTGACCGCAGTTATTCGGTCACAAGTCTTTAGGGCAGTGGGTTCCGCGAGCTGCTGGGGACTCTGTCCAACTGCTTGGGCTGTCTGGCTCGCGGGTGGGTAGAGGTACACGCTCCTGGGTGCCGCGGGGATCCTGACCCTCCATCTTCCCTGTCCCCGCAGCTGCGTGAGCTGGAGGACAAGTATGCGGAGTGCATGGAGATGCTCCACGAGGCGCAGGAGGAGCTGAAGAACCTGCGGAACAAGACCATGCCCAACACCACGGCCCGCCGCTACCACTCGCTGGGCCTGTTCCCCATGGTGAGCCAGCGCGTCCTGCCCCCCATGGGGCAGCGGGGTCCTTGTGCTGAGAAGTGTCTCTGACATCCTGCCCTCTGGAGTTGGCTTCATGCTTTCCTTCTCATTTTGTAGCTCAGAGCTGCATCCAAGTCATGGGCACACTGGCTTGGCTGGCGGTTCATTTTTTACATTTTTATTTATTTATTTTATTGAGAGAGATTTTTGCTGTAGGGCACATGCGCTCACCAGAGAGACAGAGAGAAACAGAGAGATAGAAAGTGAGAAATTACCCCCTGGGGGAATGGCCACGCTGCAGTCCCTTTTCTTCCATTCTCCTCCTGGGATTTTGGGCGTGCATGCACTTGCACCTGGCAATGCACCTGTTATGCCATCTGCAAACCCCAGGGTTATTAACGGTTGGAGACAAATGTTTATTTTTATTTTTTTTCTTTAGTTGCCAGAGAGCATGTGCACTTGCTAAAAAAAAGAGAGAGAAGAGAAAGCACCCTTCAATGGGCGATTTCTCAAAGTAGGCCCTTCCCCACGTTTCTCCCTCCTGTTGGGATTTTAAGCACATGTGCACAAGGATCCCAGCTTGGTTTTCAAGCTGCCAGGGTCAGGATTCAAACCACAGTCAGCCATATGGGATCTCGCTCCCTTAACCACGGTGCTATGGGGCCAGCTCAATAAACAGGCTCTTAACTTCCCATTCCTCTGAAACTGCTCTCTGTCCTACTCCTGCCCTTAAAAGATACATTTAATAGGAACTTGATTTAGGAAGAATCTCAGCTCTTTGGAAGATGTTGCTTACCCCTGACTCCCCTTTTTTTATTCTGACCATATTAGAGTCAATGTGAGCTGTTTTGGCTTCACAGCTGCATTGCAGAATTCTTAAAGTACTTACACACTTCTGCTGAGTCTTTGTATGCTAACTTTTTAAGAAGAGTTATTTTATTTAACTGTATTTATTTATTTATTTTAATTTGACCAGAGGGGGACAGAGTGAGAGTGAAGGAGAGAGGGAGAGTGAGAAAGCAAGCCACCAGATCTGAGACTTGAACTGCCGTCAGCCACATGGGAGTCCAGCACCCTTAACCACCACGCCACCTGCTGACCCCCTTTTTGTATGCTTATTGATCATTCTTGGTGACTGAAAGTGTCTGAGCTTAAACAACCTTGTTCTCTGCACTTAGGCTGGTCATTTTATTCTTTCCATATTATTTCCCCACAATCTTCCTTCTTTAGTTTTGGTATGATTTGGTTCATGTTTGGGCTGTGGATGAACATGGTTGAGAAGGGGATTCTTCCAGAAGGTTACTGTCCCTGTAGGACTCAGGCAGCCCAGGGCTGACCCTTGTGTGGTCATTTCTCTGTAGCATTTGGTACCTAGCACTGCACTTAGTCTGTCATAGAATTGAAGGTGCTTGGGACCAGCAGTTAGCGTAGTGGCTCTGTTGCTGGGCTCCCATGTAGTCAACCGCAGTTCGAGTCCCGGACCTGGTGGCTTAAACTCACGCCGGGCACGTGTGCGTGTGTGCGTGTGTGCCCAAGATCCGGAGAGGAGAATGGGGGAGAAGGGATTGCGGTGTGGCCATCCCCCCTGAAGGGTGATTTCTTGCTTTCTGTCTCTCTGTCTCTCTCTGTCTCTGGCAAGCGAACGCATCCTGTAGCAAAAACCTCTCCAAAAAAATCTTGTAGAAAAACTCTCTAAAAAAAAAAAAAAAAAAAAGAATTGGAGGTGCTTCATAGGTACCGTATTTGGGTGGAGGACGGACAGATGATGGACTAGAGGACAAACCGCCTTTATAGTCTTTTGTGGTCAGACCCAATTTACCTGGTTTGATGAAGCCAAATTTCTTTCTAAGGAGAGAAGAGGGTTGGACGGAAACCCCTCAGCGAGATCGGAGTGGACGGCTGCAAACATGCTTGAGAAATTCGATTCTTTCCACATCTGACCTGCCCTTGGGGCTCTTTCCCCTTACCCTGCCGTTGGGGACCCCAGTAGATACTGTCCCCTCAACCCCTCTCCTTGTCTGGCCCACTTTTCCTAAATCATGGTGTTTTTTTTTCTTTTTCTTTAAGGTTTTTGTCATTGGGTACATGTGCTCAACAGAGAGGAAAAGTGAGAAATTAAAAAATAATAATAATACATTTTAAAAAAGGGGACCAGCAGGTAGCATGGTGGTTAAGGCACTGGACACTCCCACTTGGCTGACCATGGTTTAAGTCCTGGGCCTGGCAGCTTGTTTTCTCTCTTTCTCTCTCTCGTCAAAATATATGGATGAATAAATAAATAAAATTTTTTTTTTAAGTGAGAAATCATCCCCCAGGGAGGATGGCCATTCTTCATTCTTGTCTCAAAATTGTTGGCGTACACACACACACACAAACACACACACACACACTTCACATGATTTTCAAGCCACACAGTCTGGGACTTAAACATTCAAATGTGACTCCAGCCGCCTTAACCACCCTGCCACCTGCTGGACCAGTCATGATCTCTTAGCTCTCTTATCTTTTGCTTTCACACGTCTAAGTCAGGCTAGAACTTTGCCTGTCCTTTTTCCTTTTTCCTTTTTTTTTCTATTTTTGGAGAGACTTTTGCTATAGGGCACATGCACTCGCCAGACAGACAGAGACAGAGACAGAAAGTGAGAAGTCACCCCCCAGGGGGGATGGTCACGCCGCAATCCCTTCTCCTCCATTCTCCTCTCAGGATCTTGGGCACGCACGCACATGCGCCCGGCGTGAGTTTAAGCTGCCAGGTCTGGGACTCGAACCGCAGTCAACTACATGGGAGTCCAGTGACATAGCCATTACGCTAACTTCTGGTCCCCTTTTTCCTTAAGAATAGTGATTGAAATCTAAGGAAAATCAAAAAGAAAGACATAAATAGTCAGTTTTCCAGAGGGCAGGTAGGTAATCCAAGATTCTAGGAAAAAAAGTGAACATTCTGTGCCCCGGGTTCCTTGTTCCAGTGCTAACTACGGGCCGGGCAGCTTTGGGGGCTCCTAGCCTGGGTTCCCCCTTCCTGGCCTCCCATCTGGGTGTGGCGAGCTCCTGGGGCCATCTTGTTTCCTGGGCATGGAGGATTCTCTCCACTGCCTTCCCTGCTCTGGACGACAAACCTGTCCTTGAAAATAGCCATTCCATGTGAAAGACAGGGTTACAATTTGCATTCCATTTTCTCCTGGCAGGGCCTCTCAACTTTCATACTTGCTGAGGGAAAGGCTTCGTTTGCCTTTTTCTGTAGCTTTGGCACAGCCCAGTGTTTGACAGTGGCTGTTTTTAAGTGCATTGTGCATCACAGGTATTTAAGACAGGCGTTGCCGTGTTGATGAAGCAGACTGCTCAGATCTGCCACTCTCGGTCCAGCTGTTCTATCCACTGAATGAAGCAGCGAATAGCAGTTTGTGCTCAACCGTGTTCCCGGTTCTCTTGCCTGATGGCAGGAATTCTCAATCCGGGATCCAGAGGGAATTCGGGGGACCCAGGAACCTCAAGGGAACACGACATCTTTCACTTTCATTACAGTGTCTAACTGTGTGCAGTATATCCTTTCTTTTCTCTCTCTCTATTTTTTTTTTTGGAGAAGTTTTTGCTATAGGGCGCGTGCGCTTGCCAGAAAGACAGAGAGAGACAGAGAGACAGAAAGTGAGAAATCACCCCCCCCGGGGAGGATGACCACACCGCAATCCCTTCTCCTCCATTCTCCTCTCGGGATCCTGGGCACGCACGCACATGCGTCTGGCGTGAGTTTCAAGCCACCGGGTCCAGGACTCAAACTGTGGTCAACCATGTGGGAGTCCAGCGACATAGCCATTATGCTAACTGCTGGTCCCAAGTATGTCCTTTCTTTATAAAGGTGGATAACAACCACAGCGATGCTGGACCACCTATGACTTTTTCACCAGTGGGAATCACAGGTACAATAAAAACATATTTCAGTTGCTGCAGAGGCCTTAAAAAAAACACTGATGGTAATTTCTATTTCAAGGTGGCAGGAATTACTAGTCTAAAATATATATATATAAAATATACACACACGCACAATATATAAATTGTAAATGTTATATTGATCCATAACTGGCTTCCTTTGTAATGTTATTTTATTTGGCAATATTTTTCTGAGATGGCGTTCACTGGCTTCCCTGGAATTGCCGAAGGAATTTATAGCCAAAAAAAGAGTCATAGAGCCTGAATCCAGCTTTATCCCAGCTCTGAAACTGGTACAGGTAGCACATCTCTAATGCAAAAATTCAATATCCAAAATGCTCCAAAATCCAAAACTTTCTGACTGTGGACGATGTTCCATCACAGGTGGAAAATTTCACACTGGACCTCACGGGAGGGGGGTCACAGTCAAGATACTGCAATGTGAGACTATTGTGTAAAATTACCTTTAGGTTGGGAACCAGCAGTTAGCGTAATGGCTATGTCGCTGGACTCCCACGTAGTCAACCGCAGTGCGCATCCCAGACCCGGTGGCTTAAAACTCGCGCCGGGCGTGTGTGCGTGCGTGCCCAAGATCCCGAGAGGAGGAGGGAGGAGAAGGGATGGCGGCGTGGCCATCCCCCCTGGGGGGTGATTTCTCGCTTTCTGTCTCTCTGTCTGTCTCTGTCTGTCTGGCAAGTGCACGCGCCCTATAGCAAAAAAAAAATCCTCTCCAAAAAAAAAAAAAATGACCTTTAGGCTGTGTGTTTACGGTGCAGATGAAACAGTAATAATTTTTGTATTTAGACTCACATTCTGTCCTCAGGGTATCTCATGCTGTGTATGCAAATACCCCCAAACCACCACCCCCCTAAATGCAAAATCGGAAACACTCCTGTTCCCAAGTGTTTTGGATAAGGGATACTGTACTTGTAATTTATTCTCTCCCTCCCTCTCTCTCTCTCTCTCTCTCTCTCTCTTTTTTATGTATGTGAAGATCTTGTCCTGTTTGTGAAATGCTGAATGTGAACAGGATGGTGAATAGCAGTATTAGCGGGGCTGGCCCCATGGCCTAATGGTTAAGGGAGCTTATCCCACATTGCCAACTGCACAGTTCAAATCCCAGCCTCCCAGGCTTGACAAACTCCCCAGACACATGTGTGTCCCTGCCCCAGATCCTGATAGGATGGAGAATTGGCAGAGAGGGGACTGTGACATACAATGTCCCATTGGGAAGTGCTTTCTCTCTTTCTCTGTGTCTCTCTCTGGTGAGCATGCATAGCTCTGGCAAATTAAAACAAAACAAAAGAAAACACACAGCAGTATTAGGAAAAGTAAGCTGGCCTAAAAGGATGTCACACTCTCCTAGGGAAGCCCTTTACCACCACTAAAGTTTAATTGTGGTGCGTGGGTGATAATTACTAGGTAAGACTCCACAGTTGTGAGCTGCAGAGGAGCCCATTAGCTCTATAGAGATGTAGCTTCCTGCTGGCTCTGGGGAACCCTGCCCCTCTTGGTTCCAGCCTCCACACTGGTGTGTCCCTGTGGGTTCTAGAACTATGGAGCAGGGTCCCAGTGCCCCATCACTGGCCTCATGTGGCTATGTAAATTAAAATCAACCTACTGTAAATGACACAGGGGACCAGCCCCATAGTGCAGGGAACTGCCTAGGGAACTGGATCCCCCATGGCCAGCTGCAGTTAGACTCACCCGGGTGGCTTGAAGAATCACATACGAAGTATCTGTGGGGGTGCCCAAAATCTTGACAGGATAGAGAAATGGAGAAGGGAGGAGAAGTGTGACCACGCCCCACTGTGGGTGCTTCCTCCCTCTCTCTGCCTCTGGTGAGTGCGTGCACCCTCTGGTAATCACCAAAAGAAAAACAAATATTAAACAGGATTGAGAACTCAGTTTTTCAGTCACATGGTCTACATGTCACATGCTCAGCAGGCACCTCCACCCCATCAGGCGGCTAGTGGCAGCTATATTGGGCAGTGAAGAAAGAGGACGTTTCTGTTGTCACAGGGTGTTCTAGCCCCTCCCCTCTGGGTGTCCTGCGTGAGTGTCCACTGGTGCTCAGCAGATGCTTTTTTGTCCATGCTGATCCTGGGGCATCACCCGCTTTAGTGTGAGGGATTACCTGTTAGGCCTGGCTTCAAAGTACAGCATGGTGGACGATTCAGTAGAGGGGCCATCCACTGCAGCCTGTGTTGTTGAGATTCTGCTCTGGGCTTGGCTCCCCGGGGAAGCAAGAAGCCAACTGCGACTGGCCTTCTCCTGACTCCAAAGCTCCCCACCTAGCTAGAGAGAAATAGGTGAACTGCTCAGGAAACTAGTAAGGGCTTATGGTTTGGTGTCTCCTTGAGGAAGAAATGCAGGAGTCCTAGTGGAAACAGGTATCCTGTCCTTCCTGAGGGGGTGTTGAGCCATGGGAGAGCCATGGAGAGTTGGTGGGGAGAGAAGCTCCTCTTGTAGGAGAACTGAGGCCTCAGGGAGGGTGAGAGCAGAGGCTTGGAGATGACACTGCCCACGTCTCTGCTCATGCATGTAGAGACTGTCTCTGCGGTGTAGAACCAATGTGGCCTCCGGAGGCGGGAGGCGCTTGCTGAGCCGCCAGAGCTGCAGGGCCTTGGTCTCGCCTGTGTGCCTGAGTCCTGGGTGAGCCGAGAGGGTACAGCAGCTCCTGCAGGCTGTGAGGACAGGAGCTTAGCATGACCCTGTGGGCTGTGATGCCCTGTGGGCTGCTTGTAAGCTTGGAGGTATTTGGAGATTCCATCCTCCGTCCTTCCGAACTCGCCCCTTCGCACTCCCTAAGTGCGTGGTTCCTCTGTGCCACGCTGCAGCTTCGTGCTTTGGTTACGAGGACACTGGGCTTGTTCCAGACCCTCAGCTGGAGGTGAAGGGAGGGCTTGGCACTCAGGCCCGATGGTGATGTTGCTGCACTCAGAACCTGCCAGAGACGGTCTAGTCAGGGTCCCCGGAGAGAACGCCGCTAACCTTGTGTAGTGGGAAGTCCACAGGTTTTCTCAGTTTACCCTGTGGCTCGCGTGGCTGCGTGGCTCTGAGACAGGCCACTGGACCTGCTGCTCACTTGATATGGCCTTTCTTTTCACAGGACTCCCTGGCCGCGGAGATCGAGGGAACGATGCGGAAGGAGCTGCAGTTGGAAGAGGCCGAGTCTCCAGACATCACGTATGGCCAAGCCTTTAGCTTTGCAGCCCTTAGCTTCCCAGAGACCCACGCGTGACCTGCGGTGTTCCAAAGCTAGCGTGTGTGGGCCCCAGACACCGACAGAGATGGCCGTACAGATCCCAGGGTGGAGGAAAAGAAAGAACACGGCCGACCCGTCCCGCGGCTCCTCCTCCTCCTCCTAGGTTTTAGATGAAGTATGAACTTCAGGAAAGTTGCAAAAGGGGGCTATGTTTCCATCTCTCTATACAAACTCGGTCTGAACAGAACCGTGCAGTTTTATCTTTCCTTCAGTGGAGAATTTCAAATACTTAATTTTTTTTTTTAAACATCTATTAGGAAAAGAGAAATTAGTCATGCAGTGTGAAATCCAAAGGGTTCTCCAGTGATGTGAGCAAGGCTTCTGTTTCCTTTCTGGAGACCCCCAAGGATGTCAGCTTTTACTGTCTCTCTTCCTAACTTCAGATCTTGGGTCTGGCCCACCCTAGAGTGTTGATCGGGAAACAGTGGACCAGATTTTATTGTGTTTTCTCTGCACTCAAAGTTCACAGACAGATCTTACACAGGATCCCGGGTGTGACAGTTCAAGGGGACCTCCATGTCTCTCTCCAGCCCTGAAGGAATTGGCCATTTTAACACATGCCTACCTGGGACCAGCAGTTGGTGTAATGGCTATGTTGCTGGACTCCCATGTAGTTGACCACGGTTTGAGTCCCGGATCCTGTGGCTTAAACTCACACCGGGCGCATGTGCGTGCGTGCCCAAGATCCCAAGAGGAGAATGGAGGAGAAGGGATTGCAGTGTGGCCATCCCCTCGGGGGGTGATTTCTCGCTTTTTGTCTCTCTGTCTCTCTGGCAAACACGGGCCCCCTATAGCAAATACCTCTCCCCCAAAAAAGCCTACTTGATTCTCCTTAAGAGAGAACAAATTAGCATCCAAGTATGGTTATGTTCCTAGAAGTAGCTGTTGCTAATAGTTGATGAACCTGGTATTCATCATGTTGTCATAGACATTTAAGACCAATTTTTAGGGTTACTTTTTTAAGATGAATGGGCAATTAATGTCCACCCTGCGCTTATTCATTGAGCCCCCTCGGTGTGCTCTGCCGTGAACACTGCCTTCCTGCAGCTTGCATTCTAGTAAATATCCTGAAAAAGGAAAGCGAGCTGGGAGGCAGACGTAAGACGTAAGTCTTTGTGTTTGTAGGTCAAGCTTTAGGGACGTGAAAGCAGTTTCACTCTTGCTCACATCCGCCTTAGGACGCAGCGGAGCATTAGAGTCCTGATTCAGTGGGTGTCAAGGCAGGGAAGGAGCCAGCCAGCACTCCGAGGAGCACCTGGAAGGCACAGGACAGCAGGCCGCCGGGGAGGCCTGCTGTGGGCCTGGGCCTTTTCGGTTCCTTAGCTGAGCATTTTGGGAAGGTGGGACTCCAGGCTTTTCCTGCTCTGGCTCATTCACCGGTGGTGGTGTGCCTTCTCTCCAGTCACCAGAAGCGTATCTTTGAGACCGTGAGAAACATTAACCAAGTCGTCAAGCAGAGGTCCCTGACCCCGTCCCCCATGAACATCCCCGGCTCCAACCAGTCATCGGCCATGAACTCCCTCCTGTCCAGCTGCGTCAGCACCCCCCGCTCCAGCTTCTACGGCAGTGACGTGGGCAACGTCGTCCTCGACAACAAGACCAACAGCATCATCCTGGAAACAGAGGCGGCCGACCTGGGGTCAGTGAGCTGGACACGTCGACTTGTCGGCTCTGAGGATAGGGGAGGGAGGAGGTGTGGCCTGAACACAGGCTCAGTAATCGTAAGGGGGTGAGGGGACCAACAGTTAGTGTAATGGCTATGTCGCCGGACTCCCATGTAGTCGACCACGGTTCACGTCCCGGACCCGGTGTCTTTAAAACCTCACGCCGGGCACGTGTACATGCGTGCCCGAGATCCCGAGAGGAGAATGGAGAAGGGATTGCGGCATGGCCATCTCCCCGGGGGGTGATTTCTCACTTTCTGTCTCTCTGTCTCTCTCTATCTGTCTGGCGAGCGCACACACCCTATAGCAAAAACCTCTTCACAATGAGAATCACTTTAAAAATACAGACTTCACAGTTCTCCAAATCTGTTGTACCGACCCTCTGAGCTTATGCTTTTCCTTGATTACTGTTTTAGCCAGTTTAAAGATATGTAACAAGAAGATTCCAGAAAATCTGCTTTTCTGTCAAATGCTGAAGGGGAGGATTAATGAGTATTTTTTCTGTTAATCTTGACTGTTAGCCTAGAAAATAGACTTTTTTTTTAAAGAGAGATTTTTGCTATAGCTGGAGAGACAGAAAGCAAGAAATCACTCCTCTGGGAGAACAGACACACCACAAATCTCCTCCATTCTCCTCCTGGGGTCTTGGGCACACACGCCTGGCATGAGTTTTAAGCCACCAGGTCTGGGGCTTGAACCATGGTTGACTGTATGGGAGTCCAGTGACGTAACCATCATGCCATCTGCTGGTGCTGACATTTGGTTTCATGAACCCCTTTGTTGCTTGGATGTTTGAGAGGCTGAGGATTGAGGCTGTCTGTCTTGGTTTGCTTCATACAGTGGGATGCAGGAGCCAGCGTGTCTAACATGCGTCCCTCACCACCTGCAGGGTGGGCTTCCATGTGCCCCAGGGGCCAGTGCCTCTTCCTCCCCAAGGCCTGCAAAACCTCTCCTTCCTCCACAGTCCTTTTTACACCTTTCCCCACTCACGTAATAAAACTGATTCTTCTAGACCGTGTGGGTCAGATAGATGGGAAGGTCCTTGATCAAAGCTAGTTTTGTTTAGAGTTGAGCTTGCTGTCCTCAAATTCAAGAGGAAAGAGAACCATCCCTTGAACCCCCTGACCTTAATAGCCGGGAACTGTCTACACCTGCCTGAGGTTCCCCACCACCACCACCACCAAGGGGAAAAACACCATTATATGGTCTGAATTGAATTTTACATAGGATGTGCAAATTTGCATTGTGGTCAGCCTCACAGAGCTTCCTGTGTTACCCGTTGTGTTTTTGCCCTTCCCCCCCCCCCCCCCCCCAAAAAAAAAAAAAAAAGGGCAATACCACAGAGAAAGCACCTCTTTCCTGGCCAAGCATGCATTTTCCCGTATTTACATAAATTTGAGTGCTGGCCTAGGCTTCCTGCAGCCCTCTGGAAACAGCTCCCCGCGTCCCTTTAGCAACCAGGCCCAAGTGCCCGCAGCGCCCCCTGCTGGACCGCCCACCTTCACCCCGTTTCTTCTTCCAGAAACGAGCGGAGTAAGAAGCCGGGGACGCCGGGCACCCCGGGCTCCCACGACCTGGAGACGGCGCTGCGGCGGCTGTCCCTCCGTGGGGAGAACTACCTGTCCGAGAGGAGGTTCTT